TCCACCACAGGGGAGTATGTCTCTTCATAATCTATCCCCGGTCTTTGTGAGAATCCTTGTGCTATAAGCCGTGCCTTATATCTCACGCTTTATTATTCTCATTTCTTTTCTTCACAAAGACCCACTTGTGTCCTACTGGTTATGGTCTTGTACCATTTTAATGATTCTTAGCTCCACGTTTTATGGTCTTGTACCATTTTAATCAATCAAGTCTTTGAGTGCACTCTAGTATAGACGTGGGCTCCTGATCCTCATTTATTTCAGTTGCTACTTTGTGCGCAAAATTATTTTATGTCGACATTTCTTATATGTTCCATTATGTTCCAGACATGATATCATCGATTGAGATTTATTATGGTTAGGACCTTTAATACTTTGCAGCTTGGCGTCCCAAGCTACATTATATGGTACCTGTACCTTAGAGCCGGCCGGCCTTATCTCCATGTCTGGGATGGTTTCCTTAATAACCTCGGTTCCTATTGCACCTTTCTTTAATTTCCGAGGATTTTATCTTTGGAACCTATTGGTCTACCACGTTTATTACGTGCGTTAGACTCTGTAGCAATTTGATTGTGTTCCTTGTGAACATCAATACGTACTGGTGCATTACAAGCTGGTATGTACGCTTATATAACTCTCTTTGGGTCATCAAAAGAATCTGGCAATTCATTAGCTAGCTTTTGCAAATTTATTATCTTATGGACCTCTGATTCTCATGCCAGAGTCCGAGGATCTTGCCAATTTAAGGATGTTTGATTCCATAATATTTCTTTGACCAGCTTGTTCGTCTCTCCACCTATAGTAGGAAATTCGGATTCATTAAAATGACAATCCGCGTATCTAGCCTTAAATAGATCACCCGTAGTTGGCTCTAGATACTTAATAATGGTGGGAGAATCAAATCCAACATATATTCCCATCCTCCTTTGAGGTCCCATCTTTGTTCTATGTGGTGGTGCAATCGGTATATATACGGCACACCCGAAAGTCTTTAGATGGGATATGTCTGGCTCATGACCCATGAGTAATTGGGATGGTGAATATCTATGTTCACTAGATGGCCTTATGCGTATGAGTTCTGAAGAATGTAAAACAGCGTGTCCCCAAGCGGCTACTGGAAGCTTCGACCTCATGAGTAATGGTCGAGCTATCAATTGAATTCGTTTAATGAAGGATTCCGCTAATCCATTCTGTGTATGTACATGTGCTACGGGATGTTCCACACTTACCCCCATGGACATACAGTAGTCATTAAACGCTTGGGACGTGAATTCACCGGCATTGTCTAGACGTATAGTCTTAAGCGGAAAATCTGGAAAATGGGCTCGCAGTCTTATTATCTGGGCCAATAACCTAGCAAAGGCTTGGTTTCTAGTAGATAGGAGACAAACATGCGACCATCTTGTCGATGCGTTAATGAGGACCATGTAATATCTAAATGTCCCACATGGTGGGTGTATTGGTCGACATATATCCCCTTGTATCCTTTCCAGAAAGTTTAAGGTCTCTTTATTTACCTTAGCCGGTGATGGCCTTATAATGAGTTTCCCTTGTGAACATGCTTCACACGTGAGATTCTTAGGGATAACTCTTTTCTCTTTTAGGGTGTGCCCCTTTGAATTAGTTATTAGTTTACGCATCATACTATGACCCGGATGGCCAAGCCGGTCATGCCATAAAGTGAATTTCTCGATGAACTCTTTGTTCATTGCCATATTAGCATCGATCATATCGATTTTAGCATAGTAGAGACCAGTGGATAATGCGGGTATAGTCTCTAGGACTTTCTTATGTCCTTGGGTGATCTCAATTATATTTAGGAATTCTTTGTTCCCTTCACCCTTTGTTTCAATATGGAAACCATCCAATCTTATATAAACTCAATAAGCTCCTTTTTGAGCTGGGTGAATACAAGGCATCGCTTAGTTCAAGATGCGTGCCCTTTGATAAAAGTATATGGGCTTGACCGTGGCCCTCAATAAGACTAGCTATACCCGCTATGGTGCTAATATTGGCATTTTTCATTATGAGATTTAGAAAGTATCTCTTGTCTTTTGTGTGGCTCCACTATCCACCACAAATATGTTCTTGTCCTCGGCCATTTCTTATATGGACAAGAATCATGTTCTAAACATAAAATAATATAAAATAAATTCAAGCAAATAACAATCAATGAACACATAAAATGCAAAGAAAAACATAGAGGTTTTGATGTCGAAGTAAGATTTATCAACTTGATTCTTTTATGCAATCAGAAGTTTCATACTCCGTTAGATCATCTTGATCATGTTCACCATCTTTATATACCAAATGGGCTTTAGGATTCTTCCCTTTTACACTCTCTTGATAGAGGTCACAACGATGTTTGGAAGTCCTACATATCTTAGCCCAATGGTTTCCCATTCCATATCTATGGCATACTCATTTGGTCGAGTGTTGTGGTTTGGAAATACCACATCGTCCTCGCCCTCGACCACGGCCGGAATTGGGTCTACATCCA